AACATGACAAAAGATGAGATATTACTTCAGACGTAACAAGCCTAGAGGCTTGAAGTTTCGGTAGCAGTGGTGATTATTTTTACAGGATGAGGCCTCATGGCCAACCTTCCCCATTCACCAATCTTAATACTGGCTTGGAGAGATCAAGGAATGAGTCGGCGAGGGATCGAACGCCGGACCCCTTGTGCAGTCGGCGAGCACTCTACCGCAGTGCCATTGACGCACGCCTTCATTATTTTACTACTATTAAATAACTTTCATTGACTTAAATCGTCCCGTCTTCTTCTGGTAAGTATTTGTTTTCCTTACCATATTTAATTATGACTAGGGAAAGAAAACTTTTCGCAACTCATCTATAGTTATTCAATAAATCTTTGATCAAAACTAGTGATACATTTGTAATCCCTTACGTGTTAGAGGAAAAGGAAACCGAGCTCCACACCATTCTCAGGATGAAACATACCTGTACACAGACCTATACACCCCACCAAATTCACACACACACACACTTACATTAACTCAAACATGCTATTTTTAAAAACATGATGAACAGGGATCGAACCAAATTGAATCTTCCGGTTCAGTGATTCTCTTTCTGTCTCTCTTCGTCTCTCTCTCTCTCTCGCTGGCTTCATATGTGCTTGTGTTGTTCAGATCAAAGATAGCTTCCAAATTTTGAACTAACCACATATTTCTATATATGTGTATATATATAGACATAATTATAGTCTATCCAACTCACAGAATTATACTTTAAAACCAACAGAAACATCTGAATACTCGAGTAAGAAGAAGCAAAAAGAACTACAAAATCTTCGATATAAATATGAGGCAAATAAAGCAAAGAATTGACTAACCCGCTTTCTATGCCTCACAACATAAGTCTATTAACAAACTCATTGAAATTCGCCTAACTACTATCAAATCAGTCAGGAAAGAAGTAAAAGTCTTTAATCTGAGCATGTACATGTGTGCGTGTATGTATGTGTGTATGAATGCGTGCATATCTTTGTATATATGCTGTTAAAACTATTGTACCAGATGCGCTCATACTTTCATGAAACAAATGATTATAGTACACACACTCACACACAGATTCGGAAATCTGTTTGTTTTCAAATATTGGTTTTGTAGGGGAATCTTGTTCAATTGGTTGAAGGATTTCATCATCAGCTGACATCAGATGAAAAGAACCATTGGAAAACCAGCTGGGAGTACTGGACAGCTAACTGTTTCGTTAGATTAGTTTGCCACTCTTCAGAAGTACGCACCCACAGTCAGGGTTGAAATCCAGGATCTTCTGGTTACAAGGAGAGTGAGTTCGTAGGCCATTAAGGCCAATCCATAAATTCTAACTTCTGCCAATTCATGACATTAGGCGACCATTTGGCACTGTCTTCTTCGAAGAGTTACTGCCTCATCAACCTGCTGCACCCAACCACAGGTTAACTGCCTGGAAAGGGCCAGTCACTAGTGGGCATCAGATTAATTTCCAAGTATTGGTTTTGTGAGGATTTTTTGTTTGATTGGTTGGAGGATTTCATCATGAGCTGACATCGAACCCCTGTGGTGAGTGCGTACTAACGAAGAGTGCAAAACTAGGGCTAAACAGCTGTCCAGTACTCCCGGCTGATTTTTCAATGGTTCTCTAACTGATGTGTAATTCAATGCTGAAGATAGCATTCTAACTAGAGAGGTAATTTAAGACGACAAGAATTTTTGGGGTAATCTCTCTTCGATTTTTAGCTCCTATAGACTAAAGATTTCAGAATCTAGTAATATAACCCTGTTAGCACTGATGATAGCAGTCATGTTTGTATAATGTACTCTCATAACTAAACTCAAGCAGCCATACATACTGATCCTACTATCATCAGAAGCATACTATTGATGTTGTCAAGGTAAGTAACGATAAAAAATATTTATCATAACCTGTTTCAAAGTCCGATTAGTTCTGAGATAAAATCAGCCCTCCAATATTAGAATCCTTTAGTTTCTAATGTTGTAGTGTTGTCACACTAATTCAACCTATTGAATGTTAAAAGTATAGATATGATAAGTTTGAAAAACACCATCAACTAATGTTGGAAAGTAAAGGAGAAGACGGAAGTTATGCAATCGCTTTTCAGTTTCAACAGTGAGCAACCTAACAGCTTTATCTTTTCCACTCGATAATTTATAGAGAACTGAGAAATCTAGAAGTAAAAATATCACCCTAGCCCACTCACCATCTTATACCTAATAATAATAATAATAATAACTACAAAATGAAATTTATTTCTGAACAAAGATCATTACTGCTACAGAGAAATATACTTAAATCAATCGGTAAATGACGTCTGAGACCGATAAATAACCTTGTTGGTGAGATGATTTAAAATTAATGGTCCTAATGTTACCCAGTCATCTATGTAACGTAAAATAAAACTACAACAGCAAGCCGTTAATTAGTTCTGAATTCACTTTTAGATGATGAAGTTGGTTAAAATCAGTAAATTGGCGAAAGTTGGATTTCATGGGCTGGCCACTGGATCAGGTCCCAGTGGCTCAACGGTCTACGAGCTTGCTCGCCTTGTAACCAGAAGATCCTGGATTCCAACCCTAGCTGTGGGTGCGTACTGCTGAAGAGTGGCAAAATTGCCTGACGAAACAGCTGGTTGTGACTGGTTTCCCAATGGTTCTCCAACTGATGTCAGCTCATGTTGAAATCCCCCATCCAAATAATACTATATCACTGTGTGTTATGCCAGAGAAGACTAACACTACTCAAACCCTAGTCTTGTGTAGTTTGCAAATCATGCATAGTTACTGAGGATCTGATCGATTTCAAGTACCATTAAGAAATGACTTGAGTCAGAGAACCTCTGAAATCGATTCGGCAGCCTGCTTCAAAAATTTACTGCATATAATTTCTCGTATTCAGTTTGTTCAAATCTGGTAAAATATGACCACTAATAGTATTGTTGTGCATTGGTGGCACAGCGGTAGAATGCTCGCCAACCCCGCATTTGGTCTGGGGTTGGATCCCCATCCAACGCACTCCCTTACCCAACTAAGCCAGTAGTAAGACTGGTAAAGAGGGAAGGTTGGGCAGGAGGCCAGCAGCAACCGCATCCTGAAAAAAGTTTCTACTAAACATGTGAATAAGCAGTCTCCTCGATGGTAGTTTATCCCAGTACATGAAGTGACCATTCCCAAGTGGTGTCCATGGTTCACAAAATGTACCCCTGGACTTCTTATAATTGGAATTCCACAAAATGTCGTGTACTTCTAAAAGAAGAAAAAAGAAAATATATCAAATTGGAGATTGGTTTGCACTCCAGGTCAGATAGAACTGTGTCACACATTCCACTCTCAATTATTTCCTTTATTTGAGGATCCTGGACAAATAGGAAATATCATACAATCAACTCAACTGAAAATCCCGTATAGTATATAAACAGACATCTAGTTTTTGATAGTCTGGGACTCTTCAGCTGTATCCACTCATGATCCCACCGCCAGGGGTTGAACTCAGGATCTTCGGATTACAAAGTGAGTTCCTACAGCATTCAGGCTCTGGGACAGAATTCAATGGATAGCCTAAAAATTCTAATTTCTGGTAATATGAACACTTAAATGCAGAGTTTAGTAGCTATTGGCTAAAAGAATGTGTATACTCAGAAAAAGGAAGAAAACGAAAAAAGCCATAAATAGTTATTGTTTCATTTAGCTGACCAGTAGAAAAAATGTACTAAGCATCAGAATGCGTTGACAATTATTCATATACAAGAGAACAGATGATGATTAATGATACCGGATAACTCCTTAATTAACCTACCAGCCAGCCAGCCAGCCAACTAACCAACCAAGCAAATAAGCAAACTATCTTCCTTAGCTTCATTCAACTAAATACCACCATTCATTATTGTTTAACAATGTTTGATTGTGGTCTTCGTATTTCATCTTTTTTGTCCCCCAATCATTCAATCATCAACTGAAAATTACGTACCATATTTGTTAGGGAATATTGTGCTTACATTAACGCATCAATAAACCAATCGGATTCATGTGTCATTCCCACATACAAATATATGCACAAATATCCCAGTCACATACACATACTACAAAAATATGTCCATATATAGAAAAAATTAGTACACAACACCACATATAAACAAAATTACTAACTAACTAACGAAATAAAGCGCCTAACCTTCTCTTTCTCTCTTTCCTCCTTCACTCTAACTCTTTGCATGTTACACTAAAATCGACAATGAAAGAAGAAGAAGGAAAATATGGAGGGAAGAGTGAATTTTTCATTATGGTAGAGCAGGCGAGCGAGAAAGACGAGGGGAAGAGGATATGAAGTGAATACAAACCTCTTGTGTTATTTTTGTAACTCACCTCCTCGATTCTGATTGGCCAACGAATAATAATAATAACAATGAGATCCAGTTTATCTATTCTGTCTATTGTTATATGATATAATTTTTATAGAATTATCTAATTTACTTATAATGAAATGAATGGACATGATCAGTAATTTTGTAATAACAATAAAAATCAAGTACAACAAGGGAATCTAAAAGAACCGCATTACCTAACTATTGTCAATTAATGTACAAACAGAAGTAAAGGCCAAAGGCAAAAAAAAACAGTATTGGAATAATAAATAATCACCAGGCAATAGACAAAAGTCACTAGAGAACTGAGTTGTCTCTTAAACAACAAGATATTTTATTCCCCCTAGAATTAATTATCATTACTTTTCTCAAGAATATTCCATTCCATTCATTGTCTACTCCACAAGAAGAAACACCCTGTTGATTACAGAATTTATTGGAAATATTTAATTGCACGCTTTAACTTTGTGAATTACAACATATCATCATAACTAACTAATATTAATCATACATTTTAAAGAAACTCTTGGTTGAACAACTTTTCTTTTTTTTTTACCTCAACGGTGGATTACAGTCGACTGTGAGTCCTGTCCGTGTGTGTGTGTGTGTACGTATATGTACATAGATCTATTGAATGGAAATAACTGTAAAGTCGATTTCCTAATATTCAAAATGAAAATTAAGTCAGGTATGCACTTTTTTATTTATATATTTGTATAAATTGGTTTTAACTGATTAAAAATGCCCATTAAAATTTTTCAAAAGAATGGATACTGAACTAAGAGTACTCTTTTCGACAACTTCATCATCGGGCTCTACAGTTATATATAGATTATAGTGAATGAATGAATGAGTTAGTGTTATGAACAACATTAATGTTGCTGTTTAAATAACATCGAATCAATAATATTGATAGATTACAGTTCAACAGCATCATCATAACAATAAACTGAATGTCAGAAAAATTAGGAAAGATAATATTACAAATTCAGGAATTTATTGTCTCTACTGAAGGCTGGCCAAGGTAGTAGTAGGGGCATGACTTGCTTCTTTTGAACACAGAGCACTGGTTGTTTGAGGCGAGTTGCGATAGCGTCTGCTGTTTGGAGATTGCGGTACTTCGATGATTTTGGCAGTTTATTAGGCATCCGGGAGATGATGATGATGATGATGATGGGGAAGGATTCATCAATGGTGGCTGGGTTTGTGGCCAGTTTGCACTAGATGGTCCAATATCGAACTGCTTAGCCATAGTGGGAGATATTCGCTAGTGAGCACGAAAAATCAAGTTCCTAGAGTAACGGCCAATATAATCGCTCCACCATCAGTGCAGCTGAATTGATAGATACAATTTGAAGTGGCTAGTCTAGGTACTTCATCTTTAAGGCGAGGAATCACCATCGGTCCTGTAGAGAATAAGACGTGTAGTTCGCCAGCATTAAAAGTTCTTTGAACTAATTTTCTTAATGTCCTCGTAATTATCCCACTTGGTATATCGCCCTTGAATTGTAGTCGTATATAAAGTGGCTTCTTGTATACGGATAGTGAGTAGTCCTTTTCCGCTTTCTTTGTCATATGTTTCTTGATAAATTTGTCAGGACAGCTATTTTCGATCAAGGTATCATATAGAATCCTTGGGAAATCTTCACATACCTCTTATGAGTATATAGCTGTAACTCTGTGACTGAGGGTCCTCACTAAATTTCTTTAGTACTTGATAGGAACGAAGCTGTGAAAATGTGTATATTGTCTTGTCCAAGTACTTTTTCTATGCAAATTTGGTTTTGTTTTAAATATTACGAAAAGATTAATGCTGAATACAACTGGTCGCCATTCAGGAACTGCATGAATGTGAGACCTTCAGGACGGGGAATGTGACCTACAAATCTGAATGCCATTTTTAGAATTAGTCTTGCGGAAATACATAACCCCCTTCACTCCTGTCTGATAGAAGAAAGGTGACAAAAAGAACTGCTATCATTTGAGAAAACTAGTTGTTAATTTGAAATAAATAGCATTAAATTGTTTTTACGAGTTGATCACGAATCGATATCAGTTAGAGAACCATTAAAAACCAGCCACAGGGAGTTTTGAAAGTGGGCTGTTTCATCCTAGTTTGAGAATCATCGGTAGTACGCACCCTGGTTTTCAATGCTTGTCTAAGTGATATCAATCCGCGATCAACTCGTAAAAACAAAACTAATTAAAGAACATCAAATTGTGATTAAATTATTTCATATTCACGCGGTATATAACAAACTGAAATCTCACTTAATTAATCTGAATAGTTACACACAAGCTTAGTTGACCTATGTAAATAAGGATGTTGACAGGATGAATTCTTAATGAATATATAAGATTTCTGCATACCGTAATTAGCACTGGAGTCTATGATGAACATTTCGTCCCATTCGCGGCTTGTCAACTGTATTTAGCTGCAATTCCCAGTGACTGATAGTATTTCCGTTGGGAAACTCCACTTCACCAGTCGAGAAACGACAGCCACCTGTTGTACAACGAGGAAGATAAAGTTAACTTACACACAAAAGTTACTATATAATTTAAAAATATAGTCCCTATCTATAAATTACACACAAAATCCATGAAAATCTATAAATTTTTACTTCTGATAATCTGTCGATTTCTGTAACTTGAATACCAATACGTGACAGTGTATGAAAATGGCACATAAATCAATGCAAAGAGAAATAACTCGAGGTTTTTAATCAACCCAACTAAACATAGAAAAACCAATAAAAGATTAGGGTCTCTGTACTTATTAGAGACAGTTCTGTTGCTTCCATCAGAGAAAAATATGGTGGATACTTGTTTATATGATATTAATGCCACAGGTAAGTCATCCGTAGGTATTAAAACTAATCTACATACCTACCAAGGCTAAATAAGTAGGTATGTGTATCCTGTCTTACTGTTGGAAAGAAATGCAAAGCTACCTTATTCACGGGACAGGACCAAGGATTTGACTAGAGACCAACCGTAGTCTCAAATGATGATTATCATTTCAAATCTTCATTTCTAGATTTCGCGGTGTAATCAGTAAATTTGAGCTAAGACCAAATATATATAAGGGTAGTTTGAATAATGATAATTTTTGTCGGGCGAATTAAATTGTCATTGTATAATATCAGTCAGCATAGAATAATAGAGCATTCGTATTTCAAGGTATGGAAATCGGAACACATGCGTAGAAGATTTGTACTGAAGTATAAGTGAATTTGATGAGAAAGACAGCTCAAAGAGCTAAGCAGGAACTTGTATATCATTTTGTATGTTGCCCTTCTAATTTAGAAACAACTAATTCTAATTGAAAACAGTAAATGATTTCGAATTTTGGATCATACTTATAAATTGCAAGGCAATAATAATAATAATAGTAAAAAGCTAATCTTTACAAACCATCTATAGGAAATTAATCTGATACTCGCTAGTGACTGGCTACAGGACGGAATTTCCTGGAGTTCTAGGGAGAAGTCGTGACCACTGACGTCCATCCAGTAGGCAGTGAGAATGGAGTTCCCACCGATGACAGTGGTTGGTGCCAGTTGCGCTAAATCACGAACTGGTAGGAGTTAGAATTCATGTGTTGGTCATTGAATCGGATCTCAGTGGCTGAATGGTCTACGAGCCATTTAGACCGGAAGGTCGTGGGTTCGAACCCCCTGGTGGTTTGTGCATAGTCGCCATGATTCCAAGACTAGGATGAAACGGTTGGCAGTCCAGTGCTCCCTGTCTAGTTTTCAGTGGCTCACTAACCGATATCAATCCATGATCAATTCGTAAAAACAAAACTAATCCTTACAAACCAGCTATAGATAATAATATTCAATAAAGTATTTCACAGCCTACATTAGTCTAAGTAAATCATTTTATAAACAGATGTTATCAGTATTGTATATGTTGCATAGCTGACTTATGGTCAGCATCGTTGTACATTACATCTACCTTAGGAACTAAATAATTTTAAGAAAGACTGTTAAGAAAATAATAACTGAAAGTTGTAAAACCGGCGCAAAATGAATTTTGTTGTTGTTGTTTTTTCCTTCACGTTCCTAGTGGAAAATAGGGCCTCACGCTAGTGGCTTGAAGTTTCTGTAGTAGTGGTGATTATTTTTACAGGATGGAGTTGCTAGCCTCACGCCCAACCTTTCCTCTTCACCAGCATTATTTCTGGCTTAGCGAGGTAAAGGAGTTCGTCGACCAGGGATCGAACCCCAGATCATGTGCATAGTCGGCGAGCGTCCTAACCGCTGTGCCAACGACGCACCAATAATAATAATAATTCTGTTTTTAACACATAAAAAATTGAAGCGGTTTAAGGTGACAAGGATGACGAAAAGTGACCTCTATGTAGATAAACAAATGTTCAGGTAGACGTAGTAGTTATTATTGAATAAGCAAAATAAATAAGCAAGTAGAATGCATCTTTTAAGATATAGTAAGAATCTGTCTACTCTGCCACAGTCGATTCTGAATTGCATCGTTTTGGTTTATGAAAGATAGTTTTCATTTATCTTGTGGACCCCAAAAAGACCATTTTTACTGTATCGACAGATCAAAATCAATATTTAGAGTCTTTATAAACAGATTTAATGTCTTTATGGCCCTTGTATTTATGTTAAAAATTGAAATGTAATATAAGAGGAATAAAATCTCATAAATACATTATCAGAATGCATGAAAAAGAACACAAATATATCTATTTCATGATTATTTTATTAAAATGTAAATTTTAATTCCAAGTCATAATATGTTTGTTATTTAGTTACTGAAACTCCCTGTTTAACTTATATATGAGAAGTGCGCGAAACCCTCATTTAAAATTAATATTTATACCGCTTATGGTGTGAGTGCATAGTAGAGTTATTTTTATGTTGTTGTTTTATGTACCAGGCTTAATGTAATCACAGAAAAAAGACACGAATTTGATCAAGTATAATAGTAGTGAGTCTTGTCAGAAAACTATGGCTTTTGTACAGATTCTGCGTTAGTTATTCAAGTGTTCAAATAAACGAACAATGTTGTGGAGTAAATTCTCTTTACCTTAAGAATGAACTCTGTTTGAATGCTTATCGAGTGCAGTATGTGTGTGCGTGTGTGTGTGTGGTAAATCTTTTATTCAGTGTTGAGTACTTTCAGTGGACCTGTCGAAGTCTACAAATATAGAATTAATTTTTCGCTATTGGTAAATACGAATCAAGAAACCATATCTCAGAATTGATGTAACCATCTCCATGAGTGAAATTCTAATCTATATTCTCAAGGTTTACAACCAGAAGTGGTATAACTAACTTGGAAGGCTTATTCCCAGCCTAAAAGTTCCTCCACAAGTGCGTCGGTAGCACCGGGGTTAGGAATCTTGCCGACCATGTACATGATCTGGGGTTTGATCCCCAGTCGATGCACACTTGATATCAATTGGTCGGCCGGCAAAATTTGGGCTACCGATATCACATGCTGAGAATTCCATACCTGTACCCAATAATACGGTGTGGAATCAAGCTATAATCAGAAAAAAGAAAAGACTAATCATTACATGGAAGTATGAAGAGAAATATAAGTTTACATTGTGTGCACAATCAGGCAAATGTAGGAAATCAAGACTGTATGGTAGTAACAAACTCTGGATCAGAATATACTTGACATGTGAATTTGTCAAAAAACAACTTAAAGCTGCTTGAAGTATTTGAATCTGCCTTAGATACTAATAAAACAATGACAGAAAGATGTTTGTGACTGGGATGTCTGACAGTCGTTGTGACAAATAGCCTAAGGCTAATAAAACTATAAATACCAAACAGTGAATTCAATTTTTTTTTTAAATGATTGTCATCATCATAAGAAGCAGAAAGCAAAAGTTAAAAGTAGTTAAAGTGAGAACAATTAAAAATGGACTTGTTTGACTACCCTACGTTATAAGGTAATTGGTACCAGAAAAAACATTCCTTCAAAGTTGATCGTATTCTAAATTTTCACAGTTATGTATTCTTGCTATTTATTATATTTGATGATTGGGAATCTTGTGATTGCTGACCAGTTTAGTTATCCCCTTATGACTCTTTGGTAACACTTTTCTCGGTGGAATAACTTGAGACATTAAATTTTGTGATGTAAACTGAAAGTACACACTTGTGAATTATTTCACTTTTCTTCAAAGACCAAAAATATTCAGCAGTTATTCAGTGATTCAGTACTAATATAAGCCGAAGTGACTGGATCTTTTGATCACAAAGAAGCCTGGCAATTCCAGTTATTATCCTAGATTGTTTTGTGAAATCTGTGATTGTTATTATGTATTCATTTTGGCTACCATACTCTTCCAAATAGGCGTCTTGAACTAATGCTAATAGGACCGAACATAACCGAACGCTGAGGCTGATTTGCATACAACACCACTGTGATTCTACCTAATGGTTACCTTAGGCAGTACAACTTAATGTCATAAAGTGAACCCAAGTCAATTCAGTTCTATATTATGAGTTCGATGAAGGTTCGAATGACTGCCAACTTAAAATAGTCATTTATAAAGATATTCTTTGTTTTTTGTCGAGAATTCCCTGGATAAAAATCTATCTGTACAACCAAATATCTTGCCTCGTGTGTCCTCACTTCAAATATACTTGATATCATTTCATTACCAAAGGTAACTCAATAGAGTATTGAATAAAACCCTGTGGTGGTCAGAACAACTGCTAGCGCTTCCTTGTAAGTTTTTTTAACAGTAATAACTTGCAAAGGAAGATACACCATTAGGGCTGCATAAACTTGTGAAAGCACCTGTTTGTTGGTGCACACTTTAAATACCGGAAAAAAGATAAATAATCTTAAACTAAGTAAGCCTAGAACTCCTTTTTGAATACTGAAGAATAGAAAACTGATAATTAAGCATTCAAGTATTGGTTTGTAGGGATTTGATTGATTGCTAACAGAATTTCATCATGAATTGACATTGGTTAGAGAACCATTAGCAAAGCAGTTGGGAGTACTAGGCATCTGTTTCGTCCCAGTTTGGGAATCTTCGGCAGTACGCATCCACCAGGATTCGAAACCGGGACCTTCTAATTACAAGGCCACCGAGCTCATAGACCATTCAGCCACTGAGACTCGATCCAATGGCCAGCCCATGAATTCTAATTTCTGCCAGTTCATGACATAGCGCGACCGCTAGCCAATGTCTTCGGTGGCGAGTATTTGTCGTCACACCCGACGTGCTGCACCTTACTGGTCACGACTTCTCACTAGAATAGGGCCAGTCGCCAGTGAGCATCTCATTGATATTCAGCTGTAAGACAAGAAGTACTTAACTTCTGTGCTTGGATAAACCCAGTATTCATCTGGTGACTTAAAATCAAATCCAAAAATGAAGGGATGTAGGGAAGCTATGATTTTGAAAAGCATGAATTTTTATTGCATTTGTCCCATATGGAGGTCTGTTCAACGAATAACTTATAATTAAAAGTGATCTGCAGAGATGGTTGATTCGACATACCCTAAGGGGATCGCGCGTCAGATAGACTTTTGAATGAAACTAGAATAGAAAATAGAACGATCAGTTGGATATGAGTCCAAGGGTGACATACTCAGGGGATCATGCGAGAAGAAGATGAGAACTTACCGTCAGTAGTGGAGTCAGCTAAAAAAGGACAGCAGAGAATGGAGCGAAATGGAGCTGTACTACTGAACCCCTGTGCTCCACTATAAACTCAAGGGGATAATAATAATACACACCATTTAATAAAACTTTCAGTCACTCATCCGCTTTAGATGAATGAATACGAATTTCTGTCGTACTAAAAAATTTTACTTAGTAATACAGTTAATAAAACAATCGTTACAGAAATATATTTTTTTGGTTTTGACGTATTTTCTGAGGTAGACAGCTGAATAGGGAATCTTTCCTTGTCAATCTGGACAACATCTTCAACAGTAACCAATAGCTGAAAATTCATTCGATGCTGACTAGAGACTGGCCCTATTCAGGCAGTGAATCTGGGGTTCTAGTGGAAAGTCGTGACCAGTAGGGTAAAGCAGGTCGAAGATGGGACAGTAACTCATCGAAGAAGACATTGCAAAATGGTTGTGAATTTGCAGAAGTTAAAATTCAAGGACCATTGGATCGGGTCCTAGTGACTCAATGGTCTGCGAGCTCACTTGCCTTGTAACCAGAAGGTCCTGGGTTCTACCCCTGTTGTTGGGTGCGTACTGCTGGAGAGTCCCAAACTAGGACGGGGGAAACAGCTGTCCAGTACTCCCAGATTTTTCAATTGTTCTCGAACATAAGTTTGTTATTTTGATCTGTATTCAACAGTAACTAGTGCTCATGTATATCCATTACTAATGAAAATTTAGTCATCGGAAGTTGTGATATACGCTAAATCACTCACTATCTGTGATCCTCATTCTTTATTATAAGTGGAACAATTTAGGCCCACTATAAGAATAATTCAGTATTCCTTTAGGTTTATTTTCTTTTTTTGAAAAAATGTTTGAATAAAAGGCCACCCGACTCCATCAGTACTAAAAATGCTTTGAAGAAAAGAAGAAAACTGTTATCTTCAGTATGTGTGCCACAAATATCTGCTATTGTTAAATTTACTGCCTGGAAGGTATATCTACCTACCCTTATATTAAATTTCCTAATATTTTCCTCATTCCTTTCACAGGACTAAGTACATTGAGTATGGACAATTCATCCATAGACAGTATCGAAGATAACTGTCGACAAAAATTAAAGAGAGGTAAGCTATTCGACACATACTTGATAATCTTAATCTGAAGTATATTTTCAATTACAAGTGTTTCTGTGGTTCGTGGGGAATAAAAAGGGGGAGATTCCTGGTGGATGATTTTCATCGGCCACTACAGTACAACTTAACGACATAATAAAATACTACGGGTAGCATCAAAAACAAAATTGTGCCATGGTATTGCACAATACCATAGTCCTTTTTTGTTACTTTTTATCCCTTTGCGTTCCGAGTGGGACACAGAGCTTCAAGCGTAAGATTCAGTGACAGGAGTGTTTTTTTTTTACGAGATGTGGATGATAGTCTCACACCAAACCTTCTGTCAACCGGGGATCCAACCACTGACCATTCATACGGTTGGTAAGCATTCTACCAGTAAACTACTAACGCTGGTGCTACCTTACGCCATCAAGTGAATTTAAATCCCCTCTGACAGAAAGTACAATTAAGTAAGAAAGCCATATATCATTAGATAGCCCAGATTCATCGTTTACTCGACAAACAAATTTATTCAGAGCAGAAATATGACTTATGTAGACGAATTTTACAATAAATTACGAATAAATGCATAAGTGATCATTTATTCAAGAAGTAGTATGCTTGCGTCGGTGGCACAGCGATTAGGACGCTCGCCAACCATGCACATGGTCCGGGGTTCGATTCCCAGTCACCAACGCACTACTTTACCTCGCTAAGCCAGCAGTAAGACTGCTAAAGCGGAAAAATTGGGCATGAGGCTAGCAACTCCATCCTGTAAAAATTAACATTGCTAAAGAAACTTCAAGCCTCTAGCTTGGAGCCCTATGTTCCATTGGGAACGTGAAGGAAAAAAAGACCTACTTTCTTTATATCTCATAAACAAACCGAAAGGAAAAGAGAACGGAAATTCTCCATTGGCTTAAATATTAAGTGATATTGCATTTAATCGCATTTAAAAGCTTATAGTGTTAGCATTCTAAAAGATTTAGGTGGTTGGTGGAGATTGACAGGAAGCCTTGGTGCTTGTTGGCACCAAACAAAAGACTAGATACATTACACTAGTTACTTACTAGTGTCCAAAGGATTCCCTAGATTTGTGGTAACTAAGATATATCATTTCAGTTATGAGGTAATGATACAATTCTAAAATTTGTCTAGAATATACCAGAGACTATTAAATTGAAGGTTTATCGCTGTAGCTGTTCAGAAGCTCATTTAAAAACGCTGTCTTCTGATATTTTTGGTATTTTTAATATTTTTTTTATTATGCATTGAAGTTTCGGTAGCAGTTTGATTGGTTTACTGGGGGTAGGGTCGTTAGCCCCACTCCCAAACCTCCCCATTTACCCGGGCTCGGAACTGGTTAAAAAACTAGCCAGCTAGTAGACTCTATGAGATTAGCAACAAGAAATTCTGGCAAAAAGTCGTGCAACAAATATGTAGGAGAAAGTGGAGATGGATTGGGCATACGATGAGGAGACCGTCGAATGACATCGTGCACTGCAGGCCATCAGTCGAATGGAATCCGAATAGAAAATGACGAGTGAGTTATCGGTGTGATGGTGGCATGGAGGAGACCGTGTGGCGAGGAAGAGATGAGAGATTATGGTCAATCGTGGATATAGGCGAGGAGGATAGCTGTAAATCGAACACAATGGAGATGTGTGGAACTCAAGAGAATAATAGTAATAATAAATAATCTTGTCATATTAACTCCTAGCATTATTACACAGCCATTAGTTGTAATCTATCATTTTTCCTTCGGCACTTTGCTTTTACATTACTTGGCATACACATTCTGAGTTGCATTGAAGCATACGAAATTGAAAATGTCTTTTTTTCTTGAAGATAAGATTCTAATACATCTGTTAAACTCTATTGGTTTGACGCTTACTCCTATACATTCTTGATATACTCTACTCACCTTAACTAAAGATTTATCTAAATATCCAAAAGTGAGTGTGCTTTTTTGACAGCTACAATTTATAGCTCAACAATCAAATCTTTAGTATCTCTCCTATTTGATATCTGAACTGATTCTTTCTGCAGCTGTAATTTCTTATTGATAAAGTCTTCAACTATATATATTTCTGTTTTATGTTGAATTTGAAGGAAAAACTTTACTAGTTGAAAACTGAACAGTGTTTCACCAATATCCAGTTACTAATATCAGAAGATAAATACTCTAAATTGTGGGTATTTGTAGGGATTTGGACTAATTACAGTGTGGATTTCATCATGAACCAACATCAGGAAGCACTCAATAGCTGTTTCATCCTTTTTAATGACTTTTCAACAATACGCACCTATGACCTCACCATGGACTGAACTCACAACCTTCGGATGACGAAATGAGCTTACTGACCGTTCATCCAGTTGGACAAGAATTCAGTGACCTGTGATTCTAACTATTGTTAATTCGTTATATTGCTCTACTTTCAACCAATACATTCAAAATAATGGGCCCCACTGGTTGCGACTTCTCAGTGCAGCTTTACGAAATCTATCAAGTAGTTGTGTAGGCGCTGGAGACTATCATTTAAATTTTAGGTTTTTGAGAAGATTTGGATTAATTTCAATGTAAACTTCGTAGGTTGAGTGTGCTTCGAAAACAGTGAATGAATGAGACTAGAGAGAATTCATGCGAAAAACTAAATACGACATGATACTCTCCCCGTATGACAAGTATCTGATTTATTCGGTGTAATCAAAGAAGAGCAAAAATCAAAAAGGTGGGTGCGTACTGATGAAGAGTTCCAAACCAGAACGAAACATCTGTCCAGTACTCCCAGGTTTTCCAGTGTTTCTGTAACTGATGTCAGCCCATGATGAAATCCTCCATGCAAAAAAGATACAGGTTGTGTAGCATACTCATTTAATATTATTGCTTGCCTGTGAACATAAATTCAAAGTCGACTTCAAGATTTACTAAACAAAAATTGAGATATTCTCTTCATTCTTCTTCTTCCCCTTTTTTTCATTTCATCTGTAGGTCATTCTGGAGTAAATCAATTGGGTGGAATGTTTGTCAATGGTAGACCACTGCCAGATACAACACGTCAACGTATTATTGAATTAGCACATTCAGGTGCTCGACCATGTGATATATCACGAATTCTACAAGTTTCAAATGGATGTGTATCAAAAATATTATGCCGCTACTATGAAACTGGTTCAATTCGACCAAAGGCTATCGGTGGTAGTAAACCGAGAGTGGCTACAAATTTAGTAGTGTTAAAAATAGCACATTATAAAAGAGAATGTCCATCAATTTTTGCCTGGGAAATTAGAGATCGTCTGCTACAAGAAGGTATCTGTACAACAGAAAATATTCCCAGTGTAAGTGATGTTATAAATTTGATTTATTATACAAAATGACTGTGGTTTGTTGAAGTTAGTCACGAGTTTATCACAAATAACTTTATATAGTACTTATTGATAAATAGTGGTAGTGCATATCAGATGGTTGGAGGCAGTCAGCCACTGGAAGCCTTGGAACTAGGTTTCGTGTCAGTTGGCACTCACCAGTCAGCAAGGTAGGCGTATGTACAACCTTCAGGGAATTCATGTCCGTTCTGAGAGTCGAACCCGCGTTACCCAGTGGGGCTGCAGTCAGATACGTTACCACTGTGCAACTCTATATACACTCCTTGCCATTTAGAATGCACCAGGCATGTGACTGTGTAATACAGGAAATATGTACCATACCTTTATTCAGAGAATCAGGTACTGTTAGAAAAGGAAATTGTAGACAAACAGACCACTTCTATTTTGGAAGATACAGCTTGTTTTTTCAACTAATAAATGACTTTTCATTAGTTGATTTGTAAGAATTAGGTTTGTTTTTCAAGTCTGATATCAATCCGTGGTCAAACTCGAATAATAAATAAGTCTTTTGTTGAAAACTAATTATCGCAATAAGTGCCTCGGGCTGAGATTCTTTTCTAAACCCTCCATCTCAGGAGATAATTATGCATGCATATTATCACTGCACTATATGTCAATACCCTAACAACACTTGACTGTATGCTTGCCATGACAAATGCTTTAGACAAGCAAAGAAAGTTTTTAATTGAATTTTCACTGGGGAATTCAGGTACCTCCAGATGAGGAGTCCCAAATGGGATGAAATGCACATGCTGGATCCCACTGCTAATCACCATCCACTAATTAAATTCTAAGCAAAGAAAATAAACTTGTTCAGCTTTTGTTTCAATATACTTGAATAGGCAGAACGGAGGTGATTAATCATGATTTGAATATTCTCAGGTAGTAGGTTTCATGTAATTTTGTATTGTGTGCTTAGTGGAATGCTTTAATGATATCAGGAATATATATGCACGAAAATACCACACGACTGATTTTATTCTCACCCGAATATTTAACATAATCTGAATCAAGTTTTGAACAGTTTTTCTTATGAATAAATACTAGAGATTTTCCGAAATCAACAAAAACCAAGTGAATTCTGTGACAGTATAACTTTATAGAGGATTTTATCATGATCTGATATTGGTTAGAGAACCATTGGAAAACCAGTCACAGGGAGTACTAGACACTCAGCTGTTTCGTCAGACTAGTTTTCCACTCTTCATCAGTACGCATTCACCGCCACGGGTTAGAACCCAGGACCCTTCTGGTTACAAGGCGACCTCGTAGACCATTGAGCCAGTGGGACCCGATACAGTTTTCCAGTGGTTCCCTACCTTATATCAACTCATGATGAAATCCTCCAAACAATCAAACAAAATCCCTACAAAACCACTACCTGAAAACAGTATAACTTCGTGCATTAACCACACTGACTAACTATTAATTGAAGATTTAATATATATTGAACAATTATTGTTGCAGACTTTACAATGGCATGTACATTTAAAGGATTTTTAAACAAACTACTGGATAAGTCGTGAGTCGGTGGCACAGAGGTTAGGATACTCGCCGACCATGCACATGGTCTGGGGTTCAATCACCTGCCTTACGCACTCCTTGACTTCGCTAAGTCAGGAATAGGACTGGTAAAGGGAGAAGGTTAGGCATGAGGTTAGCAACCCCATCCTGTAAAAGTAGTTACCACTGCTATAGAAACTTCAAGAATAGCTCTAGCTTGAAGCCCTATATTCCACTGGGGACGTGAAGGAAAAAAATTGGATGAATCATGGGAAATCGGAGATTATTCCCGTTTGTGTCAAAAGTATAACCTTTGACTGAAGTTATTTCAAAACTTTAGAAATGCCACGCTGTTCACATCTGTTGTCAGTTTTTATTCACTGATCTGTCTTACGGCGGTGAAACTAAAATCTTAAAGTTATGACTTACAACATTAGTAAGGGCTACTACTGTGGACAGACAACCAGAATAAGAGATGCTCATAAACCAGTAAAATATCTTGTGACCACGACCACGGAAGTCATCTAGAGAAGCTTACAGTCAATTCACTAATCAATAAATTGAGCTTTCAAGTGTTGGTATGTAGGGATTTGGTTGATTGGTTACAGGATTTCATCATGAGCTGACATTGGTTAGAGAACCATTGGAAAACCTGGGAGTGCTGGACAGCTGCTTCGTCAGACTAGTTTGGGACTCTTCATCAGTACGCACCCACCACAGGGGCTCGAATATCGATGAGATGCTCACTAGCGACTCGCCCTATTCAGGTAGGTAGTTACCTGGGGTTCTAGTGAGAAGTCGTGACCAGTAGAATGCAGCACGTCGGGTGTGAGGACAAATACTCGCCAAAGACATTAGCTAGTGATCGCGCTATGTCGTGAATTGGCAGAAGTTAGAATTCATGGGTTGGCCATTGGATCGGGTCCCAGTGGCTAATGGTCTATGTGGTGGCCTGCCCTGTAACCAGAAGGTCCTGGATTCTAACCCGTGGCGGTGGGTGTGTAATGATGAGGAGTCCCAAACAAGGACGCAAGAAACAGCTGGCTCTCCAGTACTCTCAGGTTTTCCAATGGATTTTCACTGTAAAAGAATGAGTGATTAGGCCAACACTGTTAGTTGTTCTGAAGTATTATTCAATTAGTACTGTCTTCTTGGGTAAACGGTGTCACCTGTTAGTCAGACCAAGATATCTGGAAATGTTTTAATACTCTTGACTAAACAATCTCATATACAAGAGACAGTATTTCTTAGTTATAAGCATAGCATCAGCAAACGTTGGTTTCTGTTTTGTGAGGTATTAGTCAAGTATGATAGATGGAATCTACGACAGATATTTCGTCGATTGGATACGCGGTAAACTATGAAATAAATAGTGTATAGAGGAATGTATTTACCACCCGCTAGCTCATATTTCGTCTGTATCTAACTAAATGTGTGTATATACATATATATTTGTAGTGAGTGGATACTTTAATCATTTGGATGATAATGGTTGTTTATGAGATTGAAAAACATCAACTTAAGAGAGAGAGAGAGAATCAAACTTTAACAACCTTACCAAGTAATGAATAAGTGTGTGTGTGTGTCTGTTATCATGATTACTACTCTTTTAATCAATATTTCATATTAGTTGACGAGAGAGAAATTCTATGACAAAAAATCGGTCGACCAAAACAACAACAAGACATCATAATAAGTAGTGAAACGACCAGAAAAGTGGAGAGTTTTTTTGATGAAAAAAAGACAAAACAGATATTAATAATAATAATGACTTCGACAACCAACCAACCAACCAACTCCGGAAATCTGATTCGGATTGAAAAAGTCTCTTTTTTTAAAAGAGTGGGAGAGAAAGGTAAAGAGTAAGTAAGTAAGCAAGCAAGTAAGCAAGCAAGAGAGTGTAGTATAAGCGAAACAAACTTAAATAAAAACGAAAAGGTATAGTATTATTGTATTAAAAACAGGAAACAGGAAAGTTTTCAAAATTGTTAAAGAATAATTTAAGCATAAAATTATGTAAAGAAAAGACCAACTTGGACGACAATAATAATAATAATCAGGAAAACACTCCACTGATGAAAGTGATATCAACCACAGCTCCTGATTCAGCAAACATACAAGAGGCAAGTAGTGAACTGTTCATCATGGTCACATTTTTGATAGAGAATTCTGGCTGTTCGTCTACCTTTGTAATAATAATAATGATAATATAAGTTAAATGTTAATCGACAGGAAAGGGATTCTTTACTCTAGCCACGTATGTATTATGGTCTCTTCCGTTTACTATCACCATCTTGTTGTATCTATTCAGTTTGAGCACTTCTCTAAATGCATTCCGATACAATAATCGAAAATCTCTATCATGATAATATATATATATACATGTCTATAATAGTAACCTTTTGATTCATAGGAAGTTATGGAGTGCAAAGTTTTAAGATTAATACATGCGGCAATCTATGTCTATACATTAGTATGTTAACCTGATATAGTCAATTCATTTATTCAGAAAGCTAGTTAGAGTTTATTAGTATTAGATATCCAGAAAAAAACTGCTATACTATAATTTACAATGCTTGTTTTACGCATAAGAACAATCTCTGTCTCTCTCGCTTGCTCACTCTCCTGCTGTTTTGACTAATGTCGTAATCGCTTGTTCTTTCAAGCGTTGGTTTGTAGGGATTTGATTGGTTTCAGGATTTCATCATAAGCTGACATTAGTTAGAGAACCATTGGAAAACCAGCTGGGAGTACTGGACAGCCAGCTGTTTCCTCCGTCCTAATTGGAACTCTTCAGCAGTACGCAGTCACCGCCACGGGTTAGAACCCAGGACCTTCTGGTTACAAGGAGAGCGAGCTCGTAGACCATCAAGCCACTGGGACCCGATCCAATGGCCAACCCATGAATTCTAACTTCTGCCAATTCACGACATAGAGCTATCGCTAGCCAATGTCTTTGGCGAGTATTTGTCCTCACACCCGATGTGCTGCACCCTACTGGTCACGACTTCTCACTAGAACCTCAGGTAACTACCTATCTGAATAGGGCAAGTCGTTATTGAGCATCTCATTGATATTTAAGTGTTGGCTTGTAGGGATTTGATTAGTTGGTTACAGGATTTCATCATAAGCTGACATTAGTTAGAGAACCATTGGAAAACCTGGAGGTTCTTTCCTTCTTTCCTTCTCCTTCTACTGTCAACTTTTTAAATTGGTATTAATTGCTAGAACATAGATAGAGCTGTGACGATATAAGATAGTTGGAGGCAATCGACAACTGGAAGCCCTACTTGATCTAGGTTTCGTGTTAGTTAGCACTCACAAGTCACCAAGGTAGGCGTATCTGCAACCTTGAAGGGACTCATGTAAAATACAATATTGTACATAAATTATGAAAGAACTTGATTTATTTCAAAACTGAGTATAAAGTGACTTTAGTTAAAGCATCA